CTACCTTTGGTTCTTTTTAATCCTTGGTCTTTTTATATTTTTATTCGTCCTTCCTTATCCATCTGTCCTTACATTCATACCAACGTCCATACGAACATGCACCGCTAGTATCATCCACCCGAAAAGAAAAACAACAACAACTACCCTACTACCTTACCCCTTTTCCTGCCAGCACGACAAAATCGTTCTATTTCCATTTCCTATTCTACCCCGTTTAATTTCCGTCTCTGTTCTACATTCTGTTCTACGGAAAAAGAAAAGAAAAGAAAGAGGAAGATGAAGGTGGCGAAGCGAATGTACTATCTATCTTAGATCTGTTGGGAAGCAAGATGAGGATAGGACGTGGTGTTTTTTGTGTTAATTCTTTGGCGAATATCCGGATGGTTCAGTTTACTTTGGTTGGTGCTTTGCCTTTGGCTGGTTTGGATGGTCGGTTTGGATGGATGGATTTGATGGATGGGAAGGCCGATAAAATAAAATTGATTGATTGACTGACTGATTGAATGAAAGACCTTTCCATGGCTGGATATCTTTGTCTCTCCTCGTCTCGCTCTTTGTAGTCAAAGTAGTAGTTCTGTCGTAGCTTCAGTAGATGTAAATGTCAATGCCAGCACCAGCCACGGTTCGGCGTCCTATAATTAGCAACCGCGGCTCCAGGCAAGCTTAATTTTTCTTTTTCACTTTCGCCCGCCAACCCAACCGACGAGGGCATCAGGCCAGATATGCATGACTACGCCGACGTCAACCAGTTAATCACCGCACGCAGGCCACTCCCTCAGTTGCTCTATCCCGTCGATATATTTTCTTTTCGCACACCGACAGTTCAGTCCAGTTCGAGCTCAACCCAGTAGCTAGCACGGGAAACGCACGACCAACTCCGCCTTCCGTCTATGGCCACCAGATCAACCTAGACGGCCCGGCACAGGCACGGCACAGGGGTCAAAAGGAAATTTTTCCTCCCTTTGCTGAGCACCTCCCTGTACATCTGGCTGTCATGCGCATGCGTGAGCTGCCACTGCTACCGCCACCTCGACCCGCGAACCGGACAAGTTAATGGTGAACACGATGGTGTCGGTGGGTTGACGTGAGCCATGTCTGTACGTATATGCGGGATGACGGAGCAGCGTGCGCTGGACAGATGCAGCTAACAAACGGCCGAACTGGCGGTCTCTTACTACCAGGCATGATTGATAGAAATTCAGGCAGGAAGCGGAAGCGAAAACATACGCACTCATTTATCTCTCGGTACACATATACGAATCTACGTTACATTCCCTCGATTTCGCAAAGTTGTCTAGAGGAGAGCAGGACTGTCCTCATACCTTGCACACCACACCACACGACGCGATGGATGGACATCTTTCGCCACATGGGCTCAAGCATCTGCGTACGGACCGAATAACGTCGGCTTTCCTGACGTTTTTGGCAGTGTGTTCTGCTCCTGGCCCTGCGGCGGCGGAATCAGTGGATTCATCGCGGTTGATGGCCGTGGATAAATCGAATACCATCTGCCAGGCGCATGTGAGCAATGACTTGGGAGCAGAATATATTCGGTATCCGATATGTCTGGAGACTCGGTGGAATGCCGCAGCATCAGCACCAGCAGCAGCGTCTGCAACAACGGGAGGAGAGGGGCCGTCTACAACTAGGTCTGCGAGTGGTATATATGCCGAATCGAAGGATACATCAGGTTCAGTCACGGTTCCGGTTCCAGACACTGCTTCATCTGATTCTTCAATATCGAAAGAGAGCGGGAGTAGTGGTAACGGAGACGATGCAGACGTGGAGTCTCCGCTAGATAATTCAAACTTCCTCTCCTTTGAAGAATGGAAGAATCAGAATCTTGCGAAAGCAGGACAATCGGCTGAGACCATGAGGAGACATCGGCAGGATAAAGGACAACAAGCTAGAAGACGACATACGCGGTCACCGCAGATGAACGATCCGCTAGATGGTCTGGGAGAAGAGTCGGAAATCGACCTTGAATTCGGTGGTTTTTCCACCGACGAATCTGGCGTTGCTTCATGGGAGAGGAAAGATGGCGGAAAGGCCTCACCTGATAATATAGATTCTGTCACTGCCCCCGGTGGTGCTGTTGTCGGGGGCAAGGAAGACAAGCATCCTTCCCAGCCGATCTTCGAGCTTGACGGCCAGGATGCAGAGAATGTGCCGCGCAAGGGGATTGGTCGACGGAAACATGCAGGAACAACGTGCAAGGAACGCTTCAACTATGCATCTTTCGACTGTGCCGCTACAGTCCTCAAAACAAACCCCCAATGCACTGGTTCTTCAGCCGTGCTTAACGAGAACAAAGACAGCTATATGCTGAACGAGTGCAGGGCCAAGGATAAATTTCTCATTATGGAGTTATGTGATGATATTCTCGTTGACACAGTGGTGTTGGCCAACTATGAATTCTTTAGCTCCATCTTTCGATCGTTTAGAGTCAGTGTTTCTGACCGGTATCCGATCAAGGCTGACAAATGGCGAGTGTTGGGCACTTACGAGGCTGCTAATGCTAGACAGGTGCAGGCCTTTGCGGTGGAGAATCCGCTTATATGGGCTAGGTACTTGAAGATTGACTTCTTGTCCCATTACGGAAATGAGTTCTATTGTCCAGTCAGCTTGGTCAGGGTGCATGGAACGACCATGATGGAAGAGTATAAGAATGATGGTGAAGCTGCGAGGGCGGATGAAGAGGAGGATGCGAATGCACAGGAAGAAGCGGAACAGCAGCGGCAACAAGAGGAACAGCAACAGCAGCTGGAGCAGAAAGAGGCCGATGTAGTTGTGCATCCAGATGTTTCCATTCCTGAGGTGGTTATTAATGACCAAATGGTTCCGCTCTCGAATCTATCTGATCGTGAACTGGACGAGCTTAGATGTTTTGTGGAGAGAAACGAGACAGAGAGCATCTTACTCGGGCTGGTATCCAGTAAGATGTGTGCCATCCAGGAACGCGCTGCTCATATTGCAAGTCAGCCTGTGACGACTACTAGGGTGAAAGACGAGACTGCTGCTCCTGCCAGCGGCTCCATCACCTCTACCAATACCCCGGAGCAGATACGTTCAGTCTCTTCCACTCGTACACCCACGGCTTCTGACAGAGAAGAGACTCGCCGTAGTTCTACGGGTTCATCTATCGCCGCCAATGGGTCACATACAGAGCCAACGAGGATGAACTCAGCGACATACTCCCCTTCTCCTGCCTCACCACCACCCAACCCATCCACCCAAGAATCCTTCTTTAAATCAGTCAACAAACGGCTGCAAATGCTGGAGTCAAACTCCACGCTTTCACTTCTTTATATCGAGGAGCAATCCCGCATCCTCCGCGATGCCTTCAACAAGGTCGAGAAACGCCAACTGGCAAAAACATCTACCTTTTTAGAGAACCTTAACTCTACCGTTCTGCAGGAATTGAAGGAGTTCCGTCAACAATATGACCATCTCTGGCACTCTGTCTTTATAGAATTCGAGCAGCAGCGCCAACAGTACCATCGAGAGGTGTATTCGGTTGCTAGCCAACTCGGTGTTCTTGCAGATGAACTCGTGTTTCAAAAACGAGTTGCCGTCATCCAAAGCATCTTCGTCCTGGTTTGTTTCGGCCTGGTGCTATTCTCCCGCAGCTCGGGCACACCGTACTTGGAATTTCCACGTAATATCGTCACTCGCACGCGCAGCTTTCGCTCTTCTTCAGTCACCTACGGCTCACCAGCGCCATCTGCCAGCCCTAGCCCACCGCCCATGAGCAGGATGGGGTCGTCGATACTGAGCAGAAGTGAAGCAGACGATGACCACCTGCATCACAACCACTCACGACACCACCGCAGTCTCTCAGAACAAACAGATTATGAAGTCGGAAATCCTACCTTTACCTATTCACCGCCTACTCCAACTTCCAGGACCACGACGCCAGAGCGAACTCGAAAATTGCGTTTCTCTCTTGAGCCGCGAAGTGGTCTCGCTGCGTCCGCGACCGGCAGTCCCGCGACTATGAGCGATCCGGAGCTTAGCCTGAGAAAACGCCCTATAAAGAGTGTGGAAGTGAAACACGAGTTCGAATCGGACGCTGAACAGGCGGAAGGGGACTCTTTCACTTAACATATTGTCGATTATATTATACCATGCACAATGATTGATGGAATCATCTTTTATTTTCTTCAATTCTGATATTCATGACATCTACCATCTATACCGTTGGAAGCACAGGCGATTGTATTTTATGTATCCCTTTTTATTCTTCAAGAAGAGAGCATGTATCATACTTTTATCCTTATTTGATAGCATAGCGTACATCGTTTTAATGGCATAATATCGTCCGTCGTTCCACTTCTTTGAACATCTACATCAAGAACCCCCTGAGCGCCCCCTGATATTGACCTGGTTTAGACTTTTATGTCTTGACGTGTCCATGCTGAGTCAGCTTTTAAGGCTGTTGCTATGGAAACTATCGTTTATCAACCTTTTCCTCAGACGTCAACATCAAAAATCTCAAAGAAGGGCAGACGAATCCGCCCACCGTCATACTCAGTCCAGAACAAGTTAAACAAAGCATTACTTGCATATTTGTCGAACTATCCATCGAAAAAAAGCAAGGAAATTCAATAAAGGTCAGTATATAGAGCAAGTAAGCAGGTCGATGGCTTTCTGTCTTCCCCCTGCAAAGTTGATCAGGGTTCCACGGGTTCCATGCGAAAATAAACTACTACACTGCCCTTCCCTGCTCCGTTGCCATTTAGCATACTTTTGATTTGAGGGGAGAGCGAAGTGGAAAACCCTTTTTTCGCTTCCCGTGGATGTAAACAAAGAAGATCACACACGGTACATGATTGCTGACGGATACGATACGATATAAAGCCAGCGCCTTTCCAGAAATAAACAATCTCGCTCTTCAAACCGTACATCCACACTCTACACGCAGTTCCTTCGACCCGAGAATACTCGATATTACTCTATACCCGCACTGCTTGAGAAATCAAAATCAACAAACTGTCATCATGGCATCCATCACTAGCCCATCCAAGCAACCACTTTCTGACCGGCCTACAAACACCCATCTTACCATGCAGAACACATCAACCGAGGATTGCGAGGCAGACTTGAAAGCTGCTACGACGAAATCCATGGAATACCACAGACAAGTGCTCAAGGAGAAGATGGAAGGTGACTCACAGTAAGTATTCCCCGGTGTTCTCCGAGCCAAAATGTTGTTGTATCCCAGCCCCATACTAATTTCCATGCTAGACAATCTGGTCATTTCATCTCCCCATCAGATGGAATCATGAGTCCATGCACCAAGAAGCTGAGCAACCTGAAGGGAAAGAAGTTCAAGAAGTAAGTATACGGCTATAACAGTTCCATGGACGACTCTGGCAATAATATAGGTACTAACGCTTATTCACTTGGTAGTGCTGGACGGCCACAGATGCTTTTTGCTAAGGCTCTCGGGAAGAAATCCTACGATAAGATGAGCAGTGAGAATGCAGTTGACGGTGACGGCACTGGAGATAGTGGACCTGCCTAAGTTTGATGATGGGGCTGCCTTTCTCCTACCTTTATTACGACCTGCCGTGCCCGTTTATGATTTCATTGTATTATTAGTTCCCCGAGTACCCTTATGCCTTCTTGTGATGTTGTTGCCTTTTCATTTCTGGTTATGTTTTGTTATGCCTGTTTTAGATGAACCGATCATTGCTTCAGAACGATATATTTCTCCGATTCCACGGGTATTTTATGAAAGAAATATTTTCAATGTATCCTGCATCATCCATATCGTATAACCGTACTTGGTCATAAATATAGTATCCTCTTCTACTCCATTCTGTGTCTCAGAGCCAAATTTGATTTCCAGCGTCTTTCATTGGCTCGTATTGCTTAATAATCAATCACGTGTATATCGAATTCAGCCCGCGATGGATCTCCGACTTTCGCATAAAAGGAGCGGGAAAAAAGCACGAAGAGCTCGACGGCCTCAAGCAGCCCTTGCAGCGCTAGGATTTTTGGTTGCCACAGTTTGACTGGGGGAAGAGCATACTTAGATCATTCCTAACGGCTTGGCATATATTTAGCCGGCTAATTGTTTAAGTGGTTGATTTAGCTCGAATAATACCGATCTTAAGAGTCATCATGGCAGCCCTACGCAGCTCGTATGTGGAGAGGTTCACGAAGGAGACCAAGACACAGATATCGCTGTGCATAGATGGCGGACCACTTGATGTCCTACCCGATAGCCACAAAGCCTTCGAGTCATCGAGCATCCCCAACCAAAAGGAAGAGCACCATGCTTGTCAATCTTCCGCAACGCAGCACATCTGGATATGGACTGGAGTTGGGTTTCTAGACCATATGCTTCATGCGTTGGCAAAGCACGGCGGATGGAGTCTACGAATTCGCACCGTTGGTGACTTAGCTAGTGAGTAAATTCGTAATTGAGCCGGTGTACTTGTTGGCTACTCTTACTCTGCTGAATGCTGACGGTATCGCTAGTTGATGATCATCACACTACCGAAGATACCTTCCTTGCTCTTGGAGAGGCTCTGTCAACAGCTCTGGGTGATCGAAAGGGTATTAAGCGGTTTGGCAGCGCCTATGCTCCGCTAGATGAAGCACTCGCACGGGCTGTCATTGACATTTCATCTCGCCCTTTCTTTGTCGGCGTATTTGACTTCAAGGATGCAAAGATTGGCAATCTCACTAGCCAAATGATTCCCCATGGTCTACAGAGTTTTGCTCATACGGCGGGTGTTACTCTGCATGTTGACGTGCTTAAGGGTGAAAACGACCACCACCGTGCTGAAGCTGCCTTCAAAGCTTTGGCTGTGGCTATTAGAGATGCCACTTCCAAGGTTGCTGGGAAGGAAGGGGAAGTTATTAGTACAAAGGGAGTCTTATAGAGTGTTCAATTTGAGCGCTAATAATTTTTTTTCTCCAACTCCTTCGGGTCACCTTCATTTATTTATATCCTGCACAACTACCGTTTCACCGACTCCCAGACAAATTCGAGGCCATACGAGGACGCCAGCCCTTAACCAGTCATTCCTTGTCTGGATTAGATAACAAATCGACAATTTTTATGCAGTGGAAATTCGGGGTGACTTGACGTCTGCTGTCTAACGCTGCGTGTGGCTGCCAGAGTATAACCGTCGACCGATCTAAAGGAATCTCAAAATTCAGGTTCACGAGAGACACTTCAGCTCAATCCATCTTCGCCGCCAACATACAATCTGCATTTTCGCATTTGGTGCTCATTCCGGGTATCACCTGTCCTACCAGTTATTCGTACATTTTGACAAAGCCTAAAGCTAGGGTCCTCGAGGCATCAAATCTGCAACGCCACGACAAAAGTCCCAACTCCTGAGGCCCAGCCGAGCTATCTGCTATCAAATCGCCCCTTTAGCTCAACCTTAAAAGAAACGGGCTTTTTTGTCCTTGCCATAACCGTTAGAAAGCCATAATATATTTTCTCAATTCAAGTAGCCGAACCCGAGGTTAAGGCCTAAAGCCCATCCTGTCCGCCTGGAGTTAATAGTTATACTATACAGAAATTGGACCGCTATTGTAAGAACTGCCTTGCAGTATGGTTGTAGAAAATAATCGATTTAACGCCCGATATCGTGCGATGGAATATGTATTATGCAGCTCCCTGAATGCTCTCCTGATGTTCCCCCCCTGTCGCGCTGAAAATTAAGCCTCGGCTCGTGTAGAGCTCCATCGGCAACTCCGCTCAACCTGTTTATAGGAAAACGAGCATCGACCCGGGGACCGAGCTTGAGCTGCACTTCTCCTCGTACCACCTCTCTCGTTCGTTTATACATAAGGAACTCATTCTAAGGACTTCTTTGACCAGGTTGCAAGTCCATATCTCTAGCAACCCACTTTTGGCTAATTGATTTTATCATATTGAGGACCAGTTGTACAATGGCGGCCTCCACCAGAATTCCTTCTCTCATCCAGCCGTTCGTTAGCGAGCGCGCCAGAAAGACCCTGGATATCGTAAGAGTCCTTCTGAGTATTTTATAACACCACTATCAAGCCATATCGCTAACTTGCGTGGAACTTCAGGTTGAAGAATTCGTCGAGAAAGAATGTATCCCGAGAGACACCCTCTTCCAGGCTCAGCTAGGCGAAGGCCAGGCCAGATTCACCAAGCACCCCCCTGTCATAGAGGAGCTCAAGGCTAAAGCGAAGAAACTTGGCCTATGGAATATGTTCTTGCCGAAGAATCACTTCAAGGAGGGTGCTGGCTTCAGCAACGTTGAGTATGGATTGATGGCAGAGCTGCTCGGAAAGAGCCGAGTTGCCAGTGAGGTACGGCAATACCGCGTTATGTTTTCATGAGATGAAGATATCTAACTTAAATTTTTCTGTCTAGGCTACAAACAATGCTGCTCCTGATACTGGTAACATGGAGGTTTTGGCCAAGTATGGAAACGAGGCCCAAAAGAGAGAATGGCTAGATCCTCTGTTGGAAGGAAAGATACGCTCCGGTTTCCTGATGACCGAGCCAGATATTGCATCAAGCGATGCCACAAATATTAGACTTAATATCCGCCGCGAGGGTAACGAATATGTCCTTAACGGAGAGGTAGGCAACCAGCCCTGTGTATGCAAATCTGTATAAGCTAATTCTGCTATAGAAATGGTGGTCTTCGGGTGTTGGTGATCCAAGGTGCAAACTGTACCTTGTCATGGGCAAAACTGACCCCAACAACCCAGATCCGTACAAACAGCAATCCGTTGTCCTAGTTCCTGCCGGAACCCCCGGTGTCACCATCCATAGAATGTTGCATGTCTACGGCTTTGATGATGCCCCTCACGGCCATGGACAGGTTTCTTTCAAGGATGTCCGGGTGCCTGTATCCAACATTATCCTAGGAGAAGGCCGTGGTTTCGAAATCATCCAAGGCCGTCTGGGACCAGGACGTATCCATCACGCTATGCGTGCACTAGGCGCAGCGGAACGAGCTCTAGAGTGGATGATTGCTCGTGCCAATGATGAAAATAAGAAGCCATTTGGCACCCCGCTCTCTTCTCACGGCGTCATCCTTGAATGGATTGCCAGATCGCGCCTTGAGATTGACTCTGCTCGTTTGATCGTTCTCAATGCTGCAGCTCGCATTGACAGCGCTGATGCAAAGGCTGCACTCAAGGAGATTGCTGAGGCAAAGGTGTTTGCACCTCAGGTAGCCCTCACGGTCATCGACCGTGCCGTGCAGGCTCACGGCGCTATGGGAGTGTGTCAGGATACACCACTTGCCAGCATGTGGGCAAACATCCGCACTCTAAGGATTGCTGATGGCCCAGACGAAGTTCATCTCCAGCAGATGGGCAAGCGTGAGAATAAGCAAAGGAAGGATTCCACCATGGCCAAGATCAAGGCACAAAAGGCCGAGGCGGATAGGTTACTGAATGCCAATGGGTTTGGCGCTCTCAAGGGACGTTTGTAAGGGTGTACTTTTATAGCTATTTGAGACACGGCTCTTTATCTATAAAGCATATATCGACCACACTATATATCTCCTACATACATAAATACTGATTCTGTCTTATTCTGAGCTGTAAAAAAACCATACTAGAGGTCAATATATAGAGCAAGAGCTAGCTGATATCAACAGCTTATCAATCCGCCAAATTATGGCTCCCAGGCCGCATCACGTGAACAAAATAGTCACCAAAAAGGTGGTCGCATTTTCGAGGTCGGAAGGAATCTTTTTAACTCTCCTTCACTATTTGGTATCACGGACTGGCGAGTCTGTGGCCAAGTAGCCCAGGACATCTGCGATCTCAGATGGATTTCTAGCAGGCAAACGTCTGTGGGTGCTATCACCATCGCTATTCCAGATCATACGTCCTCCGTCCCCTCCGAAACGCATTGCGCGGGATTAAAGCCGTCCCGAATTCGACGGCCTAACGACCTGGGGTAACCTGACTCCACGTTGCTCTTGTTCTGTCCAACCGAGGCGGCTGAAGGATGGCCACATCGGTGATTCACAATGGAGCCGGTCATTTGAACGCAGAGGAAACCTTTGAACGGTGCAGGGCGGCGCTGACTTGCGCCTTGAAGGAAAAGGAGCCGACATTTGCTGAAGTCGAGCGGCTATTGGCAGAAACCCGAGTTTCCGGCCAGGTCTCTGTTTTTCAGATCTTCACTGAAGGGAGAGGAGGTTCCAGACACTATCATAACGATGGTGGAGCTGTTGGATGTCCCGATGGAGTGGACATTCGCAATCCGATGGACGCGATAAAACTCGAGGGTGGCCTTTGGGATGCGCATCTTGAGATCAACGGCCGGTTTCGAAAGTGGCTATCAAATATCCAAGAAGATGAGAAAAAGGGCAAAAAGCGGCCAGTTGAGAAGCGCAAACTTATTAACCGATACTCTAAGTTCATCAAGTCCAGCCAGGAGTTCTACGAGAAGTATATCCACCACCTATTAGAGGATTTCAAGGCCTATAATATCCCGCAATTCGAAGAAGTTGCGAGAAGAAAGGGGTACGTGTTCGAAAAGGAGGAGTCCCGGGACTCTACCCTGGATTCCCTACTGAGGCGTGTGGTACTCACCTCATGTCATGCTACACTTATTAGGCTTGGAGACCTTGGACGTTACTATCAAACCGAGCTTGTGGACCAGCAGAAGAAGAATTGGGAGCGCGCTACAAAGAACTACTCAATGGCCTCGCTGGTAAATCCGAATTCTGGAAATCCATTTAATCAATTTGCCGTCATTGCTCTTGCGGAAGAACAGCATCTAGATGCTGTATATTATTTGTATCGAGCCATTTCGGCACAAGAGCCTCACCCTAACGCCCATAAAAATCTGACAAAAGAATTCAAGAATATTCTAGCGGGTAAGGCGCAGCCATCAACATCAACATCAACAAATGACCCCCAAGCAGTGCTGGTCAGTTCCTTCTTATTCTTGCATGCCCAATGCTATCAGGGGGATTCTCCCGAACACGAAGAACGTGAGAATGAGATAATGCACCTGGTTACCGTTGATTTAAAAGAGAATATTCTCGAGCGCCCCCTTTTAGAGAAATTCGCCCTTATTAATATTGCCTCGGAAATTCATGCAAAGGATACTAACGCGCAAGTATTTTTGCGGAGGCTGAATGTGATATTCTTTTTCACTCTTCTCCAGGTTTTCCTAGCCGAGCTTGAATGCTCTGCGGATAAAGTGACCTCAGTTGCCTACTCAATCCTTCCGGCTTTGCGACACTATAGCAGTTGGTTACTTGTTAATAGCCCAGTATTGGTATCTGCCCCTGAAAGTAAGGACACTCCACTGTGTATACAGATTCAGGAGCTCTGGAAGAGTTATGCCAATACTTTGACTGTCCTTACCTCCACCTTTGACGTTATCAACCTACCTGATGTTCACTACCTCCTTGAAGAAGACGAGAATACCCTTGGGTTCAAACCCTTTGCACATCCTAATACCATGCGACGTTACGGGCCTCCCGGAGCAACGAAACCTAGAAAACAGTATGGTGAAACTGCAGCTGCAGCTTTAAACAATAAAGAGATGCTATTTCGAATCCGACAGTTTGTGATTGATGGCCTTGACCTCGAGCGTAATGAGAGAATCCCTATCGTCATGGTGAATAAAGAGGATGCAAGACTATTCGTTTACAAGGAAGAAGGTCTTCCTCAATTCCTGGACACTCGTAGCCAGACTCGTGGACATGGTCATACTCTTACTTCCACTAGCATTGACCTAGATGAAATACAGAAACCAGCAACTTCTTCGAGTGCTTTGGAGGACGGCGCATCCATCTCAGGATCAGCCTCGATGCATCGGATGGTCGATAATCTAGTCGAGTCGGAACCAGCCGAGAGTTTAGTTGATGGTGATAACGCATCATCATACTATGCCTCTGTCAATTTGAATCACCGCCGAAGCCTTGCCCATCAAGGGTTCGAAAATGGTGGCTCAGGAGCCCAGGGCCCTTCTCATTTCCAGTCTTATTCCCCAGGACCACCACTTCCAAGTATAATGAAGACTGCGTTTGCTCCGCAGCCGGGTGAAGCAATGTCTCCAACCAGCCGTCCCTCTACTGCTATATCTTGCACTGCTCCCCAGGTACTGTCATCTGGTTGTAATAATAGCACTCTCTTCTCTAGCTCCTTTCTCTCCTGCTTCGTGGACGAGTTCCCTAGCAGCCTACCGTACATGCAGACCCCACGTCTCGGTCATGCAACGAGTTATGCTGGCGGAACTTCCTTAGGTGCTCAACCATCGGAGCCCATCACCGCCTTTGGCCAATATCAACCACACCAGCCGTACAATTCGCCTTCGTATTTCAACAATATTCCATATGGAGAAAACCGTGGTTCGATGTTGCACTATGCTGGGGTTATTGGCGAGCAATCGCCACCAAGCGGTCAAGGAGGATGATAACTCGTACAGTCTGGCTCGCTCTCTTTGCGGCCACACAGCTATATTGAAATACTATTTCCACTCGGCTTGACCTGTAATGCACTTGCAATACGCCTCTTGGTTGCCGGAAGCATCAGACAAACGCCTATCCACGATTGTTGGCTTTGCATATTATTTCTCTTCCGAGAGAGTGGTCCGTGGTCAAATTTGCATGAAACTACTTAGTTGGTATTTGAATCGTCGGAAAGAATATATCCTCGACAGGGACCAGGGAATGCTCCTGCTTCGCGTAGGTGTCGCCCTTTATTATCCCCCATAGATGATTACTCTACATCGATGGCCAGTTGACAGAAGCCTCGAAACGAGCTTGAACTGGGAAATAAATGGACTCGGAAAGCCATTTCTCTCTTCCTTCCCTAGTGATGTTCCCAACGTTTAACATCTAGATATCACTGTCGTGCCCTTTATTTCTCGAACACAAAAAAAAAAAAAAAAAAAAAAAAAAAAAAAAAATTTCTGCCATGTTGCGATCAAATATTGCTTTCAATTTCAATGACGAGCACATGCACGCGTAACGAAGTCAACTGATCTCATGTATATTTTCATTCGTTGTTGAAAACGTATCTGTAACTAATTCTTATTCTACGTTTTTCTCTTTCATAAACAATGTCATCGAAATTGCCATCAGCTTGTCTTCAAAACCTGATCCTACCCCTATTAAGGGGTCTAGTTAAGCTCTATCTCGTAGCTGTTGAGTCGTGTGGATGGTTGGTAGGTATTTAGTTGAAAGGATGTAGGGTATGGTTAAATTTGCTTGTGACAGGAGCAAATGGAGGGAGTTGATCCGAGTTAGTAGTACCCAGCTATGAAATTACACTATTCTTTTCTAAAAGAAGCCTGATACCCGTTTGTTTCGGTGCACAGGGTTGAGCCTCGACAGATGCAAAGTGGGTGATTAGTCTATTGGGTGAAGGTTTGCTTTGGGAACGGGTAACTTTTTGCATTTGTTAGTAGACGATCAAATCCACAGATATTTTTGGGGCAGTCAACTTACGATGGGCCTAATTCCCGGATGCTCAAGTTGGCGAGCCAGTGTCCCATCTCAACACACTCTGGAACAGACTTTCCTTGAACGACACCGGCACAGAATCCGCCAGCGAATGCATCACTTTTTGGAATGTTAGCTAAATATAATCTCAATGGAGAAATAGAACCGCAACTTACCCGGCTCCGTTAGTGTCGCAGATTTCCTCCTTGAGAATCTTGCGGATAGGGGTCTGGGTAACGGTGACTTCACCAGCAGCATTGGAGACCGCAGAGATAGTTGGCTCGGTTCCGTGAGTGACAATGACAGTTCTAGCACGCTTGCTGTTGGTCTTTGGAAGCTTGGCCATCTTTTTGGCGATTTCACAAAGGTCCTCAGTGTCCCATTCCTGGGACTTAGCGAAGGCGAGGGCCTCAGCCTCGTTTCCAACGATGAAGTCGGTGTATGGGAGGACCTGAGCGAGCTGATCCTTGAAAAAGGCTGGGATGAATGGAGCGGAAAGGGAGAGCATGAAGGTCTGATTCTCATATTAGTCCAATGGTTTCTCTCCATTGCCCATTTCGGGAAGAGTCCGAGGGAGAGAGATAAGTACCTTGTTCTTGGAAGCAGCCTCCTCAGCAAGGGCGAGAATAGCTGGGACACAGACGGTCAAATGGTAGCCACCAACGAAGTAGACCTGAGCCTTCTCAACGAGGTCCCAGACCTGTGGCTGCTTGAGGTGATCAAGCTTGTACTCATTGGCAGCAGCCAAATGGGTAACCAAACATCTGTTGTGGCCAGTGATGATGACACCACATCGACCGGTGGGCTGAACATCATCCACACGGTATTCAACTCGGAGACCGGCCTTTGCACAGGACTCTCGGAGGATATCGGCATACTTGTCCTTGCCAACGCAGCCGATGTAGAGGACAGAGTTCTCTGGGAGAATATACTATAACACAAGAGTCAGCTTTACAATGCCATTTAGAGACTGTCTGGGCGTCTGTAAATCCAGTAGGTATTCATACCTGAGCTCCACGAGCAGTGTTCTGAGCAGCTCCTCCAGGGATGAGCTTTGCGTTGTGGTTCTGCATCAAGTCCTCATAAAGGCCCATATGCTTCTCCTCGGCGAGAATGGCATCGTTTGCCTTGACCTCATACTTATCGAGAGTCGATTGGTCTCTACCAAGAGGATTCATCAGTCAACAAGGAGGAAATAATCACAAAAGGAGCCTCATGCTTTGCGGATGCACGTACCCCTCTCCCTGGATATCTAGAAAAGAATTACTTGTTAGCAGCGACTCCACGGGCACAATTGAGAGGCAGACAAACCCAAGAGGGGGTTCTCGAGGCAGAGAAGCGCGTAACCCTGAGCATCAGCCATCGTGAAGAGAGTCGGACTGTGGTTTGTCTTGAGATCAAGTCGGAGAATTAACTGTTCGGCGGGATGTCTCTCAGGTGTTATATATAGTGGGGGACGAGGAGAATTGGATTTAGTGTTTTTCTTAGTGTTATTGCGGAAAGGCTGAAGGAAGAAAAAGCAAACATGGCAAACACGCCAAAAACCGCCAGCAGAAACTCCGACGCAAGTTCGCTAGGTGTGTACGTCGATAGCAACAACAACGCCGAACAGACAGACGGACGGCTTGCTAGGTTCTACGTCGACGAGCACCGGAGCGCCGATATAACGAGCCCGAAAGACACAATGGACGACGCCGCGGCGCGGATAGCGGATAACATCCAAGCTGCATCGATATACGGCCAGCGGTCTCACGGGTTTGGACCGGGGACTCAACACCATCTCGACGGCCTTGACGGGGTCGACTCAGACACTGCGAGCATCTCTACGGATGTCGTGAATCCGGAGCGAGAAATCAAAGAAAGGAGACTAGGGCGTCCGCAGCTACCTCCTATACCAGACCTGCGATTCCAACAGAGCTATCTTGCGAGCATCTCAAAGGCTTCGAGCTGGCAGCATGTTGCTTGGATCACACTGAGAGATCAGGTATGAATGCAGGTTTACGGATCTTGTCATTCGGAGACATACGTTGACTTATGCCCTACTGGTTTACTCCGTAGATTCTATTACCTCTTCTACAAGGCGCTTTTGTCACACTTGCGATGGCCGGATGGCGGCACTGGACCCGCGGAGCTCGGGCTAGTGGAAGAGCAACAGGCCTAAGTCTACGCCAGCTATGGTTCAAATTGACAAACTGGAGGATGGCAGAGATATGACTGAAGGCTAGCAGAATCTGGAATTGTTTTTAGCAATGGAATTATGGGATGTTAGGCGTTACCTGGCTTGGGATACCATATGATACACACATATTTGCTTATATGCTGCTGCATTGGAAGCCAACGCAATGTTCTTTTATATAGACAACAGACAAGCACAGATGATTAAGCGTAATGTTATGCATAATATCAATAAGGAAGACGCCATCCGCATGGAAGAGTATAGCAGAATGAGTTAGTAAGAGTGACTAGGTTATCCTGTCTTTCTTCCTTTCATATGGGTAGTAAGTAACAGTTATTTGGACATGAATACCACCTAGTAAATTACTCATAATAAGCGTATTAGCCAGGCGAGAGGTTTAGGTTAAACAAGATATGATGCTGTAACAGAGCACACATGCCTAGTATTAGACAAGTCCGTTATATGTAGGTGGTTGGACTTGAGGCTCTTGCTTTTCGGGAATAGTAGGGGTATAAGTCTCCTGCTTAAGGGGAGGGGCGTCATTTGGGACTTCTGGCTTGAGTGGCACCTCAATAGCTATACGAGGCTCCTTTGCGGGTTCCTTTGCGGGTTCACTAGTAGTGTTCAAGATATGGCCATTTATAGGGATCACTGTAGATGTGCTTGTAGGCGGGTTGCCATTGTGCAGCAGTTCTTCCTTTAATGGTTCAAGCAGCGCGGGCTCTGGCTGGGGTGTCTTAGCTGCATTCCCTTTGCCATATTTCAGTTTAACAATCAAACTTCTGTTTCTATCCAGCTGGAGATCCGCTGTGAAGGAGTCTGCATCGCTTAGCCCAGCCTCATCCTCGTCTTCGTCGTCAGCAGCGTCTTCATCCCAGTCATTACCGCTCGAGGCCTCGTCGTCGCCTTCTGTATTATTATCTTCGTCGCTGGGCGTTAGGCCGTCCCAGCCATTACTTTGAAGGCCACGCCTGCTTCTGCGTGACCTGCCGTATTCCATACCGTTCCCCCCGCCAGCAGGGTTGTTCGACGGCTCGTCGTCAGTAGCTTCGTGAGACCTTTTGCCAAGGACGGTCTGGCCGTAAATGCCACCTACTCTGGACTTGACCTGGCGGCCAGAGGCGGTGAAAGTAGGGCCAGCATTTTCCGGAGGTGATGAAGCGCGTGATTGATTACGAGTAGATCTTCTAGACGGGAAGGCGCCCGATGAGAAATCATCGTCGTCAGAGAATGTGTACTTGATTCTCTTTCCACGAGTTCGACCCTCGTAAAGAGAGAAGCCGGGTTCAGGACGGGCGAATGCAGCTTTCCGCGCGATTCGGTAGTCCCGTCGTTTGCGTTTCTAAAGTGGAGATTAGAAGTTGGCACTATATAGAGAGTAACGGAGTTCCGTCAAGGCTGCAGCTTACCTCTTCTGAGTTCTCAAATCGTGGGATGCTGTTGAGTATTTTCTGACTGAGCTCTCGAGACGCACGGGACTTCTCCGTTGCTAGCGACTCAGCGACACTTCGTAATTCAGGTATTGTGCCAGCTACACTCCACCAGGTGTTTGTCTTCAAAGCTGGGTTGCTTTCTCTGTAGAGTCGGAAGTGTGTGTCATCTAAGCCTTCTATGAGCCAGTATCGCCTTTTAAGGGTATCTGATCCCCAAGGCTGAACGGACAGCGGTTGGTTCTTGTCCCCATCGTGTCTGGACTGTTTGTAGGATTCTTTGAGTTTCGCCTGGACAGAATCGGAGGAGGAGAGGGCCCAAAGGGCCAATGTCGAAAGCAATTGGATCTAGAAAGGGCATGTTGGCCTAGAGCTGGATATAGAATGGTATGCAGTCTCCATTTGTATGTCACTTACCCTTTCCTCTGGAGTCATTGTCATATAACCACCTCCATTCGCAAAAGGACTCTTCTCTTGCCATGCCTTTGGCCATTGCGACTGATGAGTTTGTATAGCTTCCTCAAGGGCGCGTTGATAGTGACCTCTCCTAAACGAGACCAGACAGCCGAATTAGCAAGATGCAATTTAAACAGCGCACTTCAATATAACCAGACCTCGCGCATCACACCGATGCACAAACTGGGAATCGTGGTGTTGTAAAAACGGTATAAGGGAGATCGTACTCGACGTCTTTCTTCCGGTTAAGTACAAGACTAAGCAGAGCACAAAGAAGGCGCTCAACCTGGTCGCCAGGCGTAGGCTCAACAACACCCTTTTCAATATCTTGCGGTCCGTAATGCGGCAGCGACTTGGGAAACACATCTGTGAATCTCGAGCGGAACATCACCAGGAACTAGAGAACAGAAGTGTTAGCTATTAGTTTTCGCGTCAAAGCACTATAAGCAGGCGCGTCACGCTCTTGCCTCAACGATATGTAGAAACGATGCAACCACCGCACAAGCAAAGAGGGAAAAGGAAACAAGATAATTTTACTCACGGCAATATTAGGATTATCAGCTAGAACGTATTCATGGGGAGGTGACGGGGGTCGTTTGGGGGATGGTGGTGCGGGAGCTGGCTTCTCTGCCTTTTTGAAATATTTGGTGATTCCCGCGCTGCGGTTGACGGATTCCGCGATAGACTCGTCGGCCGTCGAGACGACCGAGGATAAGGACGAAGAAGAGTCGGAATCCGACATGGCGAAACCTGCGCGCAGAATCGAGGGCTGGCGACGCTGGTGCAGATGGCGGCGGAGGAGGTGGTAGGGTTTTTGGTTGTTGGGGTCCAAAGAAGTATTTGATGGAGGGTAGCACGCCTTTGGAGATAAGATAAAATAAGATGCAGCCAGCCAGGCAGCTAGTTAGCTTTTTGGTCGTAGGTAAGCAGGAAAAAAGCTTCAGCCTCGAGTCGTTTGCTTAACGTATTATCAGCCTGAGTCGACTTGGCGCGTGCAGTTTGATCTGAAGCTGTAGGATAGATAGATAGATTGGTTCTTCGTAGCTGTAGTTGTAGAGGATGAGATGGTTGTAGATGAGAGCGAAACAGCCAACGTAGACGGAGAGGAAATGATTGAACAGGATGAAGCAAAAAAAGGGGGCTCTTTCTGTTCTTCTAAACTTTATATAGGTAACATGTCCTGCTGAGCAGTGAAAGAGTCCGAGTTGAGTCCAGCTAATCACCAAAAAGTTCTATTCACATCTATGTCCTATTCACGGCGGATCAACACAGAGGACAGCAGTCGCTTCCAGCCAAAAGTCAAGAACAAAAGGCAGCGCCAGAAAGGTAGCGTAGTAAATATCAAAGTCTGGAAGATGTACGCTTGAACGAGAATAGCCAAAAGGAGTATATATGCCTTCGAACGTAGTAAATGCCAGTATATGGGTTAAATCTATCAAGACGCCGTATCGGAGGCCGATAACACCGTGTAGGAGGCGATTATCCGGGATGAAGGATATGGCTGGACTCCAACATCTCGGGCGGACTTGTCCTCATAACTCGGTGGCGATTGAGTCACACTCCCTGTACTTGGCAGTTAGGTCATATCGCCATGAGATGTCTTGTCTGTCTGAGATCTTCATCGTCTAGACACATCGTCTCGCTTTCGCCACGCCATCATCATCATCGCCGTCGCTGTTATCCTGTCCTGCCGTCCTGCCGTCCTGTTGCCGTCGATGTCTCTGACGTTGTTTTGTTGACGTTGAAAAAGAAGTCGGAAGGTGGAGGTTGCGGTTGAGCTTAGTCAGCAGGACGAAAGCGGCTAGCTTAGCGACTCCCACAGAGAAAGCAACCACACAAGCCGCGAACATTTTTTGCATCTCGAACTCCAACTTTTCCACGATCAAGCCGACAACTTCGCGATAAGGTACGACCACCGCCTCGCTTCCTTGACGCTGCTGCCGGAGACTCACTGAGCAGACCCAGCACCGAGAAGACAGCTGCTAACCGTCTCTGCAGTAATCATGGGTCGCGTGATCCGCAATCAGAGGAAGGGTCGTGGATCTATCTTCAGTACGTTGACCTCCAACATCCATTGAGTATTTTTTTTTCCCCTTCTTTGCTTGCCGAAGCGGGAGAAAGGCGACGGAATTCGACGGACCGCAGACGCACGAAAGGCGCAGGGCGAATTGTCGAGCAGCGAGGAAGTAAAACGCAGGGAGAAAAAGAAGAATGCATGCTAATAAGTTGACTGTGTGAATAGCGGCTCGCACCCGTCTCAACAAGGCCCCAGCCCAGTTCCGAACCCTCGACTACGCTGAACGCCATGGCTACATTCGCGGTGTCGTGAAGAAGATCGTCCACGACAGCGGCCGAGGCGCTCCCCTGGCCCAGGTCTCTTTCCGCCATCCATACAAGTACAAGGAGGTCACCGAGACCTTCATTGCCAATGAGGGCATGTACACCGGCCAGTTCGTCTACTCAGGCAAGCACGCTTCTCTCAACATCGGAAACGTCCTTCCACTCGGCTCCGTGCCCGAAGGTACCGTTGTGACGAACGTGGAGGAGAAGGTCGGCGATAGAGGTGCGCTCGGCAGGACGTCTGGAAACTACGTTACTGTCATCGGACACAACCCCGAGGAGGGCAAGACACGCATCAAGATGCCCAGTGGCGCCAAGAAGGTCGTCAGCAGCAGAGTCAGAGGAATGGTTGGAATTGTTGCCGGTGGTGGCCGTACAGACAAGCCTCTTCTGAGTACGTCTACCCACGTTTTTTTATATATTTATTTTTTATTTTCTAATGAGCGTCTGAATTGAGTTGAGTGAGTTGGTACTAACCTGTCTGTGCAGAGGCTTCTCGTGCTAAGCACAAGTTCGCTGCCAAGCGCAACTCGTGGCCCAAGACTCGTGGTGTTGCCATGAACCCCGTCGACCATGTAAGTGCAACAGCCCTACAGAAACGTATCATGTCTGCCGTGCTAACTCCCTGCAGCCCCACGGTGGTGGTAACCACCAGCATATTGGCAAGGCTTCGACCATCTCCCGATATGCCGTACAGGGACAGAAAGCCGGTCTTATCGCTGCCCGCCGGACCGGTCTGCTGCGCGGAACCCAGAAGACCAAGGACTAGAAGTACTAATGGGATGGGCGTGGGTCTTTTTTTTTCTCATAATGATGTACGGAAGAATAAAATAAATCACTTCACCGTAGTCTTCTTTACTTCTTCCGCCTCCTTTAATCCTTCTTAGCCCTCCGTTAATGCAGTATCAGCCTTCTATCCCTTCTGTACCTTCTATCCATCCCCCTTATCCTTACTGCCGGCCTTTGCACCCTCACTGGCCTTGGCGCCCTCGTCATCACATGACCATGACATCATCACGTGTTTTTGCGCGTCACGTGCAGCAGGCGACACCTGAAGCGGCCTAGCGTCCCCGTCTTGCTCCCAAACTGGCCAATCACGGGACCGCGCCCTTGCCCTGCGCTCTCTTCCGTCACTCGCGCCCGAAAGAGCGAAGAGCTATATAACCGTCTCGCAGGCACCGCACATTGGCAGTCTTAGCAGTGCAGGATAGGAGACACGGTATACGAGACGATATTCGCAGAGACGCCTGAAGATTATACGAAGAGCCACAGAGAAGACACGTGAAGAGACGCAAGATATATACTCCGTACAGAGACAGACAGACAGAGGAGACCGAGACCGCTGAGACACACAGCAAGTGATGGATATAGACGCAGGACGGGCCTTATAGAACATCGACCCCTTCCCATATCTCGATCCTCGCTCCTTGCTCCTCCCACCGTAGAGCTTAGTCCCTATCCGCCTGGCCTCCCTGCCTCTCCTTGGTCTTCCCACCGCTCGAACAACACCCAATCCATCCCGACGGTTCTCGGTCCTTCCCTGGTAGTCCTACCATCATCATGACGGCGGAAACAGACAACAAGTCGGCCTACGCCTCGACCTCTGCCAGATGGCGCGCAATCGTCAACCGGGACGCCGCTGCCACCGGGTTTGTGTACGGGGTGCGGACGACCAAGATCTATTGTCGCCCCCGCTGCCCTGCCCGTCTCGCCCGCCGTGCCAACGTCGAGTTTTACGACACGCCTCTCCTGGCCGAGAAGGCGGGATACCGCCCTTGTAAGCGGTGTAAGCCCGAAGACGTGCGCGCGCCTACCGATCCGCACATCAGGCTGGCCCAGCGGGCGTGCGAGACCATGACGCTGGCTGCTCTGGCCGGCGGAGACAAGCAGCGGCCAACCCTGTCAGATTTGTCTGGCGAGGCCGGTCTGACCCCCAGCCACTTCCACCGCGTCTTCAAGAAGGTCGTCGGGGTGACGCCAGGCAAGTTTGCACGGGAGCTGATGGAGCGGAAGTCGTTGGGTAAAGTTATGGTGCCCAGCGGTATCAATGCGAGGATATGTTGGCCGCCACCTCATCTGGCTCCCCTGGTTGGCATGAGCAGCCCCGTGCAGGACAGTAATAATAATAATGCATCCTCGTTGGAGCCACAGGTCCAGACTCCCCCTCTTGGCGACTGTGACATCGATCAGATAATAGGGCAAGGATATAGTGATCCGCAGGCCGTGGGTCCGATCAACTGGAACGAATTCGATCTCATGTTAGCTGCAGCATCGGATCCAAGACAACAACAACAGCAACAACAGCAGCAGCAACAACAACAACAACAACAACACCATCATCACCACCACCAGCAACATATAAACTTCTCTCGTCCACCAACTTCCACACCTGCCTCCACTGCTGCCGCTGCTTCTGTCACCACCTCGTCGTCGCCTGCCGTCGGAGGAGGTAGTGGTATCTGTATGCCGCAGACAACGGCGTCACACTCGTTTGACCCAAACTCACTCAACAACATCCAGTCCATGCTGACTCTCGACCCCAACTCAACGTCGAACATCAACTTCGCCCAGTACATGGCCGAACCCATCGACTTCTCCCCCATGAACCCTCCCACCACCACAAATAGCAGCACCAACACCACTACCGGCCACAGTCCGCCCGACACCTTCGCCCACCCAACTCCCAGCCCTACATCTGTCCCTTCCCTGTATTCCCAGCAGTCCATCTCGCCCACTGACTCACCTCTGATGTTCGACTCCTACACTAGTCTTACCGGCTCCTGGCCCCCCTTGCTGTTCGAGGACACCGACTGGCTGGACAGTCAGGTCCTGCTCCCCGCCAGACTACAACAAGTCTAGACTTCTTGTGCCAGGTCGTAAGCAGCATCAA